TCAAATACTTGATAGAGATACCCAATTTATAACATCTAAATGGTGGCAGTCTTAAGAACTTCTAGCATTTCCCCACAAAGCCTTTTTTTTTTTTTGGTGGTGGTGGTGGGGGGGGAAGATATACTCTATAAGATCCTGCTGAGGCTGATAGCACTGGGGGTGCTAAAAGTAATGTTACCTGCTCAGACCAATTTGCTGAGAATATGGGCAATAAAATTCCTAATTAGGGCATGATCATTACCTTCTCACAACCCATTACTTTCATGTCAACAGGATATAATCTGTACTGAAAACGGGGGAGGGGGTGCTGATTTTGCAGATAATGATTTTCTATCTTTGACCAGATATAACATGACCCACATCACACTCTAGAAGACTACCGGTAGAAAACATAGCATGTCAGCATCAATGATGCCAAAGGCAGTTACCCTTTTAACATTCAGTAATAAAAACCAGGAAACTGAGCTCAAACAACTCCTAGAAACCTTAGTTTCTTAGTGAGCGGAAACTAAGAAACCTACCTGGGATGGGGGTTGAGAGGAAGATGAAAAGAATGGGAAGGGAAGGAAGTAGAGGTGGTTTGTTTGGGACAGAAGAATTAGTCTCTGATTTATAAGCACTGACTCAGGGAGGACTTGAGGAGTCTCTGCCTATTCAGAGCACTAATGCATCTGCTCAGAGGTAATTCCCTCAATGTTTGAGTAAAATTTACTATGGAGCCAAAGTTCTTTACTTTTGCTAGTAATGTGTCTTGTTGCTTTATTGACTCATAAGGGCTTTTATGCAAGAGGGAAGATCAGAATGTATGGAACCTACATTTAGCTTTCTGAGAAAGAATGAAGTATCAAATAACCAACCTAAATACTTAGTCTTGGTTACATCTTCTAAAATCTTAACATATGGAAAAGAAGCAAAAAGGAAGCAACAATACTTTTAAAATATATGACGGTAGATATGTAAAAGCACCCTCTTACTTCTTGGAACAGGGTAATGAGCATGTTGAAAATAATCATGCAGCAGAACATTCCTTGCAATTATTATCCTTCCTCAATCACTTGAAGACACTCTCTAAGGCAGCGGTCACCAACTGGTGGTCTGTGGACCACTGGTAGTCAGTGAGGTCCAAAAGGTTGGCGACCATGGCTCTAAGGCATGAGCAATGGAACGGCCTCTGAAAACACTATTAAATGGAAAATTTCCAAATCCACAAAAGAAAAAAAAACACTTGGAAAATGAGAGACAAAGGAAGTGAAAGGCAAATAACCCACTCAAAGGCAGAGAACTAGGTGAAAAGAAACTTGATACTATACTTTGGTTTTGCATTTTTGTATTCTTCAGTGTCTGTGTCCTCGTCCTCTGAGTACCAATTATCTCCTCTTCCTCCAGTCAAGAGGCCCCTGGCCGCCAACAGTCCTGCAGCATTCCCATAGCCAGTGTATTTCAGCAGGCTATCCACTGCAAAAACAGAACAGGTTTTTAGACAGGAATCCTTGGGTGTGCACTAGCATCACTGACTACTCACTAACACAGGGACATTGGAGATAAAGGCTACGATGGTAAAGCTTAAAATGGAGAATTTTTCAAAGTGTGGTTGGTAGTGGTTACACTATGTGCTCTGAGGACCAATCTTTTTTAAGGTTTCTGAAATTCAAACAGCTGATTTGAATATACTTCGTTGCGGAAGTGGGAACTCTCTGACCACCAGGGCATTGATTGGTAAGGGTGCTGTTTTAAGTTTTTGTTCACAAATCATATTTCTTTATCCAGTCTTAGAGAAATGATGATTAGAAACGAGTTACTGGCATTTTACCAATATCGCACATCATGTAAAATTTTTCTTACACCCTTTGTAGGAACTGGAGGGAAAGAAAATAAGAAAACTTAAGGATATTAGCAAATAGAATGGGCTAAGTTACTGCTTTTTTTTAAAAAAAAAGTCAGCAATCTATATATATAAAAGGTTAATATGCTAAGTGTCTGAGTGTCTGACTGGTTGGTATGATGCACACTGACCACCAGGGAGCAGATGCTCAATGCAGGAGCTGCCATGATGCGCACTGGCCAGCACCACGGACCTGGAACCGACAAACCAACACTCAGCTTCCCCCAAGTGAGACACAGGCCCTGCCATCACCTAGGAATGACACCCCACCAAATCGTAGCCAACACTGCCAAGACCCCATGGCACAAAATGGGGCCCACAGGCCAGTCCAGTCTAGAAACGGTCACTGTGGGTGCTGGGTAATGACGTCATGTAGCAACCCCCGGCTTCTTCTCCCTAGTGAGGACTAGCCTCTCTGCAGTTTCTTCAGCCCAGGAACATAACTTGCTTTATAACCAGGTGCAAACATTTCACACTTTAACCAAATGTCTGTGAAGCATTTTCCTGTGCCTCATCTCATTTGATCCTCACAGAAGTCTTGGAATAGGTAGATAGGAGACTTGGGGGAATCCTATTCTCTTTTCATTAGCCATAAAATGGAGATTTAGAACATTTAGAAACTTGACCCGACTGAAAGAACAAAGAAATGGTGGACCTTGAAAATGACTTCAGGTTTATCACTGTGCAGAATATAGTCAAACACTGCTGCAGTTAAATATTTTACCCTTTGTTATCCCTGCGTGATCTACAATAATAATCTGCTTTGTGTTGATATTTATTGCTGTGTTGCTGACAATTACCTGAAAGAGAAGTTGGGGTGCTTCACTGGGCTGGAAAAAGTTTAGCTTAATCAGAAAGCAGGTCTAATTAAGCAAGTTTATCCTATCCTATATAATAAAAGTCCAATATGCTAAGTGTCCGGTCATCCATTCAACCAATCAAAGCATAATATGCTAATGATATGCTAAGGCGGCTCAACCACTCGTTATGATGTGCTGACCACCAGGGGGCAGCCAGTTGACCGGTTGCTATGACATGCACTGACCACCAGGGGTTAAATACTCCGACCAGTAGGTGAGCTTGCTGCTGGGGTCCGGCCAATTGGGACTGAGAGAGATGGGCCAGAAATGCCCTGGAGCCCTCCTGCATCCCTCCCCAGCCCAGATCATGCACCGGTGGGGTCCCTCGGCCTGGCCTGTGCCTTCTTGCAATCTGGGACCCCTCGGGGAATGTCGGAGAGCCAGTTTTGGCCCGACAGTGGAACGTCCGGTTGCTATGATGCGCACTGACTACCAGGGGCAGAGGCTCAGGGCTGGAGCTGCCCCCTGGTGGTCAGTACGCTCCCACAGGGGGAGCTACATTCAGCCAGAAGCCAGGTTCACGGCTGGCGAGCGCAGTGGCAGTGGCAGGAGCTTCTCCCACCTCCGCAGCAGCGCTAAGGATGTATGACTGATGGCTTATGCCTGCTCCTAAGCCATCAGTTGGACATCCCCCGAGGGCTCCCGGACTGCGTAAGGGCGCAGGCCAGCTGAGGGTCCACCCTCCCCCTGAGTGCATGAATTTTGTGCACTGGGCCTCAAGTATATACATAAAAGGCTAAGTTGATTTGCACATGCACAATACATATAAAGCCCTCACTGGCACCAACTGCAGGTGTGTGTTTCTGTCACTAGATCGTGAATTTGGTTGACATTTCTATTATAGAGAAAGAGCGAATAGCAATATTAAAATATTTCTTCTAATTAATTTCCTTTCAATGTGCATGAATTCATGTACCGGGCCACTAGTAAAATATATGAAAACACATAGAATCCACTGAGTAGGGAGGCTTGGGAGTTAGACTTGCTGGATTTCAATAATGAACACGTACTAGCTGGTTGACCCTGAGATGTTATTTTGCAGCTCTGTACCCACATTTTCTAATCTGGAGAATTGGAATAATATCTACCTCACAGGTCAACACATGCAAAGTGCTTAAAAAAGTGTCTGGCACAAAGTATTTTCCTAGTCATATAGGTAAAATGATCACTGATCATTTTCTGACTTAATCTTACTGGTAGTCAACCCAAATAAACAAGCCCCAACGAAGCATTTGGCGCAGATCCCCTCTAAGTAATACATTGCTTGTCACCAATGTAAGGTGATTATCTCTAAGAGAAGCAGACATGTAACACTTTTTCAGGAAAACCTTGAACTGTAGGAGTTTTCCTTTGTGTGTATGGTTTCTAAGCAGCTTTAAGGAAGATACTGAGCAATCACTAGCAGCTTTATATGGAGGTACTTTCTTTTCTTCAGACAATTTGAAGGTGAAGACTAAAATATTCAATCAAAAGATAAAAATCGGCAAAACTTACTTAAGGCTTTCAATAAAATGGCAACTAAAGGCAACTGTAGGAAGCAAAACAACACTATCCTATCCATGTGTAAGGCCTCAGTAAAATCTACATCTGAAATACACTGGAATTCATATCACTTACCTCAAAAAGATAAAATAAAGCTGGAGAAGATTCAGAGGAGAGCCCTGGCTGGTTTGGCTCAGTGGATAGAGCGTTGGCCTGCGGACTGAAGGGTCCCGGGTTTGATTCTGGTCAATGGCACATGCCTGTGTTGTGGATTTGATCCCCGGGGGGGGTAGGGGGGGGGAGAAGGGGCGTGCAAGAGGCAACCAATCAATGATTCTCTCTTATCATTGATGTTTCTGTCTCTCTGTCCCTCTCCCTTCCTCTCTGAAATCAATAAAAATATATTAAAAAATAAAAGATTCAGAGGAGAGCAATTAAAATAATTCTGAGAACTAGAAAGGGGCAATGGATAGGGAAATAGGTGGGTAAGGACAGAGGATAACTGTGATAAGAGTATGAAATTATGAAGGGTGTGAATAGAATAAATAGACCAACCAGGAAGAGTTGGCCATTAAATTTTCAAATACTTGAACTACAGGGTAGCTCCCTTGACAGTAAAAATAAAAGGAAGTCTTGCTTTCAAAGAATATAGCAAACTGATGAAATTTATGCAAAAAGAAACATGTATTAATAATATAAGTAGTGCTTGCTTAGGCAGCACATATACTAAAATTGGAATGATATGGAGAAGATTAGCATGGCCCCTGCGCAAGGATGACATGCAAATTCATGAATCG